TCTATCTCTCTCGCTCTCTCTGCCTCTCTCTCTTCTGTGACGAATTCGTTTTGCGTAAAAACAGGAAGTATGGGATGTTTCGAGACACAGCCACGCTATAATATGCCTAATACTAGACCATGGAAGGGTAGGGAGCCTGAATATTCGATGAGCATGAACTTTCGGGCTCAAAAAAGAGTCCACTCCCGAGGAGTAGTAATGATTAGGGATGGGCTTTGTCTAGGCTTACTATTAGGCTTGGGTTTCGATGTGGCAAAATTTTCAGGTCCCCGGCGAGAGAGAGAGGGGGGGGGGGGGGGGGGGGGGGGAGAGGGGGGGGGGGGGGGGGGGGGGGGGGGGGGGGGGGGGGGGGAGAGAGAGAGAGAGAGAGAGCGAAGAGCGAAGAGCCAACCCAAATCACCCACGTGTATTTCAAAGTCCCCTCGTGCTGCTCGGTCCAGAGTATTACCGACTTATCCGCGCTGCCAGTCGCGAACCGTTGCCCATCGTACGACCAGGCCACCGTATAGACAAGGTCTTTGTGCCCTGAAATTGCTATTTTAGGGAGAACGAGAGAGGGAAGAAAGAAGGGAAGAGAGAGAGAGAGAGAAAGAGAGAGCGAGAGATAGAGAGAGTGAGAGAGGGAGAGAGTGAGTGAGTGAGAATTGTGCTTTTACCTACCTTTCAACGCCTGCAACAACGTGCCGTCCACACCGTCGTAGATCAGCACCCGCGTGTCGGCCGCCACGAGCAGCTCGGACCCGTCCGGCTTGAACGCCATGTCGTAGATGCATGAACTGAAAGGGTTTCTCTCTCTCTCTCTCTCTCTCTCTCTCTCTCTCTCTCTCGCTCGCTCTGCCAGCCAAGAGCACCTCTCTTCCCTTCCCAGCCCCTTTAGACGTTTTCTAAGATTTCGAACCAATCTAGATTTTTTGGCCCTGTGTCAAATTTTCGCATCTGCCTTCCCGGTCCCTTTAATCTGTCAAATACCCGCCCAGATCCACCCACAATTTACTATAAAAAATCTCCACGAACTAGGAAGTACGCTACGCAACTAACGCCCCTCTTAAGCCCCAAATTTCAATGACTGTGCCTTATTAATCAAATTATCACAAGGCGGCGCGCTCACGAGGGTGGGGCCTAGCCGCTCTGGGCCCTTTGGGCCCTCTCCTTACTCCCGAGGACTACATAAGGGCCCAGGGGTCGGCCCCGAGGACTCAATGCCCCACACGGCACCCCTGGCCGCCCTCCTCGCCTCCCTCCTCATCGCCATGGTACGGTAGGAAGATGGGGGCTTTTCTAGATGGGTCGAATTTCATCAATTTGAAGCTGGCCAAAAAGCAAAAAATTATCGCCGTGCGAGGGTCGAACGCTGGCTCTACGCCTAGGAGGCGAGCGCTTTACCAATGAGCCAAAGGGGCAGCAACCGCAGCGGTGGTAAAAGCCATGTTCTCCTTTTGGGTCGACCAATCCGCGCGCAGGATCGGCTCGTCTTTGGTACAAATGTTCTATCCAGTGCGCCGGCTACCGTACCACTGCCTACCCCTAGTCTACTGTAATTCAATAATTGCCATTTAGGTGAGGGGGGAGTGCTGTCCGCGGGAGGACCGCTCGAACTTCTGCACCATATTCACCATGCTGTCGCCCACCGAACAGAACGAGGTCGTCGGCTACTTGGGTCAGTTCAACATTTTTTTTTGATCGTGCTCCCCTCGAATTATCGTTTTAAAAGGTCATGTCATGTCTAAAACGAAGCCTACCTTTTCCAAAGCTGAAGCCTAACCTTTATGCTGAACGCCCCCAACTTGTTGCTCATTTTTTACGCCATAACTAGCGTGTCGGTGGTCTAGAAAATTCAGGAAAACCGCCCCCATCCTTTGTCTAGGATCACCACGCAAGGGTTCATGCCCCAATTCATGGTTAAAGGGTGTGTGACAGCTCGGAAAAAACCCCCCAGTCTGTTCCAAAAGAGAAAATTTTTCGCGAGAAGACTGGGTTCAAGCTAAGCCTAAGCCCAAGCCTAAGCTTAGACCTAAATCTAGGCACAGAGTTAAGCTTAAGCCTAACAAAGCCTAAGTCTCTCCTAAGCCAAAACCCCAGCCTAAGCCTAGCTAAAGCCTCGAAAATTCCAGGTGACAACTGCCAAGGCGACGCCGAGGAGGCCATCCGCGTCATGGAGAAGCGCAAGCCAAACTTCATGCGATACGGGCGGTCACGTAAGCGGTACTCCGATTACAGTACCCCCATTTAGCCAACATCGAGATGGGCAAGAAGGGCTCCGACCCGAACTTCCTGCGATTCGGCAAACGCTCCAAGCCCAACTATTTGCGCTTTGGTAGGCCATTTGAATGGGGCAGCCTAGCAGGGATTATTGAGGAATCCGGAAGTCCGTAACAACGCCTTGATTTCCAGGCCGCAGCGACCCGAATTTCTTGCGATTCGGCAAGAAGGCCGCCGGCTCCGACCCGCACTTTTTGAGGTTTGGCCGATCGGCGGAGCCAAATTTCTTGAGGTTTGTGCGTCTTTAAAAGGGATTTCTTGGTCTAAGTCGCGCTCCAACTACCGTATCTATCGATACAGTAACAGCAAAAACTCGCTGCAGACTGCCATGCTTCTAGCCTACGCCTAAACCCAGCCTAAGCCTAAGCCAAGCCCAAGTTCAAGCCTGGCCCTACGCCTAAGCCCAACCTAAGCCTAAGCCTAAGAATACGCCAGGCCTGAGCCAAAGGCTGAGCTTAACCCTATGCCTAAGCCAAGCCTAAAGCTAGCCAACCTCCGTGGTGATTTTTGAGGTGTTTTTGAGCAAGAGTTGCATGTTTTCCGGCTTTTCCTCACCTCGTTCCCCCAGACGTCTCCCGCAAGTCCCGTCCCATTCAAATGACCCCCGTCCGGCTCATCATTTACCCAGCAGCCCATCCATTGTCAACGCGTGTAGCCGTCGGCAGGGCATGGCGCTGAACTTTGCCTTCGACAAGACGGGGGAAAAGCCCCCGGAGATATGCATTCATTTTGATTATGGGGGCAAGGGGATTCCTGGGATGCTCGGGTGTAGTATGTGATGAAAATGACATAGATAATGGGGGTTCTTTGAACCAGCAAAAGGCATAGAGGCTTAAAAATGAGGCTAGAAAACCCCCTAAAAACCTAGGAAAGCCTAAAATTATAGACACTACCAATTTTAACAAGATAGGGCCAAAAATGAGCGGCTGCAGCGCGCGCACCGAGTAAGGACGCCTAGAGGAGCTACTTGTAGTCGGTATCCTATGATCGCACATAGTAAAACCGTCTAAAGAAACGCCGCGTCGGGTGAGAAAAAACCGCGCTGCCTATTTATGGAGAGCCCAATTTCCAATTTTGCAGATTCGGCCGCTCGGACAGCTTCGACCGCGAGGAGCGCAAGCCGAATTTCCTTCGATTCGGCCGGAAGTAGAAAAAGCGGGAGGGCAAAACCAAGGGGGGCCCGCGATGACGGCCTACCCCCCACAACTACCCCCACTATAAATCGGTGAGTTTAGACTTCGGGCTTAGGCCTAGCTTAGCTTGGGCTTAGGCTTAGGCTTAGGTTTAGCTTAGGCTTAATTTTTGTCGGTATTTTCGGAACTATTGCCCTTCACGCTGCACCTAAATGTCTAAAAACATTGTCGCGAGGGCAACACTCCGAAATGCAAGGCCATTAAAAGTACGCGTAAATACTCGCTGCGAATTAGCGTCGAAAGCAGCCTGGGGGAATTTGCGAAATTAAGAAAGGGGCAACATTAGTTCCATTACATAAATATCGCGAATGACTGTTTTAGCCATAAAATCGCAATAAAAAGCAAAAAGCAAGCCCGAAATCCGCCAGGAATCGAACTTTCGACCCTAGCTTCCCGGTCTTTCGCCTTACCAGTTGCGCCACGTTTTTATCAGCAATAAAATGAATTAATTACGATGAAACCTTCCAAAAAAAACCATCAGATTTTCAGCAAAACAAAGTCACCACCCCGTGAGTGATGCCGAGGACTCGTGTGTATAAAATGGGCAAGCCGGGCTCCGCGCGCACCGCACACCACCCACACCAACCGCGCCATATTCTTATTTTTTGTCTTTGGTTTTTCCGAGACTTTCCACTTCTTTTTATTGTTTTTGTGCACCAAAAAAATTATTCGCGTTCTGGGGCCGAATAAAGTGTTTATGGGTTTGGGCGTATGGTCACGGATTTTGGGCACGAGATCAGAGGGGAAAAAAGAAAACCTACAATTTTGTATCCCTAAAAAAATTCCGAAATACCCCTAAAAGCCTACGGTACTTTTAGGGATCTGTTGGAAGCATTACAACCTAAACCTGAATTAATGAAAATCCGATCTCCAAAGCAAGAAAAAGAATTTTTAGAAATCAGAACCTTGTAAAAAAATGCTGCGAGCTCAAAATCTCACTTTTTAAGCCATTTGAGTTTGAGTTTTAAAGCATCTAGATACCTAAATTAAAGCCCAAATTACACTTATCTCAACAAACAAGTCTTAAAAATGAAGCCATACGACACGAGACACCGGAAACCAACCCGTTATCCGATGCATCATCTTCCGTCACCTTGTCAATCCATTTTAATATCGGTCGCATTACTGAAATATAGCTTTCTTAAAAATTATACACAAAAAAGTTGGGGTAATCTGGATGAAGCTGAAATAAAAATATCAAAACAAAAAAAACGCCCGCCGACGAATCAAAGCCGGCCTAAAGCTTTTTGTCCAAATCCGGAAGCTAGAGACTGGGCCCAGAACAGAGAACCCAGACACGCAAGAGCAGCTAAGTCGGCTTGAAATCTTAGTCAAACCCGATCCAAGCCAATGGAAAAGCCTCCAAGCCAGCCGGGTTCTCCCTTGGCTTCCGGCCTGTCCGTGTTTCTGTGGTTGCCATGGGAACCCCGGGCGGCGCCGGGCGCTAAAATTTGAATCCGACAGCTGGATTAAATAAAGATTATACATAGAACAAAATAGGAGAAAAAAGTAAGGAATCCCAACAGTCTCCCCAAACGTCAGCTGACCATGCAGCCGCCGATGAGCCCGGATGTGGTAATTTTTTGCGGGAAATTTCTAAATTATCTCCGACTTCTAACTTTACAAACTTATGCTGATTTTTACGCCCTTTTCTCGTCTAAAATGCTTATGAAAAATTATTAAGCTGGTTACTTTCAGGATTATGACAAATTTTTCAAAATTTAAAAAGTTTTGTGTCCGAATAACAATCTAAAACTGCTTAAAAATGTCTATGATAATTCTATAGATCACTAAAGTTAAAAGGTATGGATTTGCGTGTGAAATCAAAAATGCATACCAATTCCCTACCTATACTTACCCACATTCCCAGGGCTCGAGCCGCGCGACGATCCCCGGCATGGCGCAGACGAACCCGATCACCGGCACGCCCAACACAAAGTCGGCCGAGTGGACGGGCTGGCGACCGTCTTCATCAGCCGAACGCCAGAGCGGCCCCTCCAACGAGCGCCCCAACAACGCCCCGTCAAACGACAGCGCCGAGCGCTACACGCGTACCCAGCTATCACGTGAAGCGCCCGCCCTGCGACATCCCGTCTTCCCCACCACCCCGCCACCGCCGCAGTACACCGTCGTCGTGTCGGTACTCTCCGCCAAGATTCCTCGCAGAAAAAAAATTCAGGAGAAAGCCACCAGCACGCAGGAGACGTCGCTGCGCGAGAGCAAGTTCTACCTGTTCCGGCTTGAGGTCGGCTGCCAGGCCGTTTTGGCCCGAATTTTTTTTAATTCGAGGGGAATCTTTTCCATGTTTTCATTCTTTAATATAAACGATGTTTGTACATTGTTTTTGCAATTCTTAAAAGTAAAGACGTGAAATATATCGAAAATGAAAGTTCGTGTTGCATGACCAAATGACGAACAAATTCAGACGAAAAGAGTATCTACTTTTTAGCTCTAAATTTCAATAAAAATTTTACTACCAAATCTTCCTCCCCCGAAAATGCACCGCGCGAACCGACAGGGTAATCCTACAAATCCATTTCCAGGGCGCCCCAATTTGCGCATTGTTGTACACGGTGATGGCGGCGTTGGCCGTTGTGATGATCGCCTTCCTCGTCACCGGGTTGATCGTCGCCTTCGATTTCAGTGCGACCAACGGAATGGTGGGTACACGACCCATATCATCGGCTGCTTTCTTAGACACGCCAGGGCATGACGTGGCAGGACTTGCGCGACAAGGTCGACACCCTCGGCGAGGCCAAGACGTTCACGCCCAGCCGGTCGACGGTCCCTTAAATTTTGGTCTATTAGCTTTGATGTATTCGAGTGTGTGTGATTGATCAACTCTTCTATTGCCTTTTCCCGCACAGAATAAAGCCTCTCGTCTTTCCGAGCCGCCGGGGATTGTCCGAATATTTATTACACATACATAGGCACTGATAAATAACGGAACAAATACGTGCAATTCACAAGAGCCACGGGTGACAGCTGTGCTGACTGACCCTCTGGGGTTAATTGCGGTATCACAGCAAATCCGAGGGGGGTTATTAATAGCTGAAAATACAGGGAAAATTATTAGGGTGGGATCGTGGTTATGGGGATGATGAGCTCGTAACCTTCGGTGCGAGGATGAACAGGAGATTTGGGGCACCATCGACAAGCAAGTGGATGTTGGGGGCGAATCTGGAAAAAGTGGTATGTGAAAAAATTTTATATTCACCTGCGCAAATTTAAAAAGTACAAAAACTTACCTAGCCAATAGATGGGTGGCCATGTCGGATGGTGGGAACACGTAGACGATCCCATCGTTTATCGTCACAACGCCTGAAAACACTTTACTAAACGCTCGAAAAAAAGATCTGTACCGGCAGCATCCTTCTCGGCCAGATAGTTGGCAAACGGCTGAATCGACTTCGGCTCTTTGCCAACCTAAAAAAAGCTGATTTTTTGCTAAATAATGGCCACTAACCCCAATCATAATCGCGAGCTGCTTGATCGGCGAGGCGAGCAGTCGGTCTTGCAGAGACTCTTGGGTCGAGAGGGCGAGCCTAGAAAAAGCAAGACTTGAGAAAGTGCCTAAATCTGCACCTCTGCGTCACGTGCAACTTGACCGCGTTGCCGTCCGAGTCGCGGAGCATCGTCTGAAGCAGCTTCTCGGTGCCGGCCACTCGATAGAGACGTAGCGCGTACTCTGCCTTTTTCAGTAGTACCTAAAGACCGACGTTTCCTGATAAAGGCGTCGTTCTTACATGTCCGACCCAAGTGAACGCATATTGCTCATCGAGCTGCTCGATAGTGCGGATTGGCTTCCCGGCAGGCGGCGGGCTTTCTCGCGCTCGCTAAAACTCATTTATGCTTGTCAGATCCAGAATTCCGTACCTTTGATGAAGGGCTATGATCACGGTCGCCAATTCGCTTCCTAACCGCCGTATCTTCCCTGTAAAGGTATTTTAATTCAAAGCTATGGGACCAACTTGGCATAATCAATCTGGATCACGTGGTCATCAAAGTCAAAGTTGCGCATTGCCCGCGACGCATCGCTGGCCGCGTTCAGATCTGCGTAGAGGATGTAGGCGTGATCGCTGCCCTCCTAAAAATGATAATTTTGGTTAGCCAACCGTAATATTTATACCTCATAATCCAACTTGTCAATCGGGCCATAGCGATCAAACTCCTTGCTCAGCTCGTCGGCGCTCACCCACGGGCCTAGCCCGCCGACCCAAAGTTTTCGCGATACCTAACAAAATGCTTTTCAAGGAATGGTTGATTCAAACCTGGCTCTTCCCATATCCAATCTTGCATTTCGGACCACCGTGCCGAATGGCGCGTTCATGCTCGTTGTGCTTTGCATCAAGCGCTGCGTCAATAGTCTGCAATTTGCAGGTTGATGTCCCGTGCCTCTAGACTCACCGCGAATTGCACAAATGCATAGGCGGCCGTCGAGTTCTCGACACGTTTAATATCAACCTCTTCAACGCCTCCATATTTTTCAAAGACCTAAACGCTGTGGTTTCGAAGTATCTGAGTAAGCCGAACCCTCCGTATTTCCGATTCGTGTATATCCGACGGCATATTTCCAACAAAAAGTGAACGAGTAGCTTTTTGATCATCTTCCTGGAAGGAAATACGTAAAAGGTAGCCATAAAAGCCATGGCACGCACCGTTAATCTCCAAGTGCCTTGGCCGCCGCTTCGTCTTGGCGAAATTCCACGGCCGCCAGATCGATTCCGTTGCTGCTCCTAAAACACAGAATTGCGACGAGCTTCTAGAGATCCAATTTGCCAAGTAATAATCATAAAAATGCAGACCTGCATACTGGCACGGTTGAATCTGTCGGGGATGAACTTGCCGTCCTGGTCGCGGATGATGCCGGCAGGATCGACGAGGATCTACGAACTCTTTTGCACCTTTTACAATCAATTACTCACCCGCCGACCCAACAATTTTTGGAGGCGCGCAAGCATTGTATGCCGAATTTTCCTCGCCGCATCCTTCCGCTCAAAGTTGACGTAGGCGAGTCGATCTTCATCGCCTGGGTTCCGCACGACTTTCACCTAAACAGGGTACGACGGTTAGTCGAGCTTCTTCTATGATCTCACCTCGAATGGGACATATTTCTTGAATTCTTGATAGAGGATGTCCTTGATCTCGTCCCGTTGGAGGCCCTTGTCAATTTGGGTGATGCGCAAGTTCAGATATTCATCCGGCGATTGGCTGCCGAACCGTTCGCGGTAGAATGAAGAAAGCGCATCTCCAGTTTCATCGTATCTAAAAAAGGTTGTTGTTTGCCAGAAATGGCAACGAACCGTGAGCGGGCCCGGCTCCGGTCGTCTCCATGACGGCTCATCTAAAAAATAAAAACTAATAAGCGCGATGATCTCTACAAAATATCAGATAGCAAAAGATCATTTTCACCTATCAAATAATCTACTATCGCCGCGAAGCGCGCGGTGAACAACATACCCATTTCTTGCCGAATTCTTAGCCCAATTTTTAGCAAAGTACCGAATATCCAACTCAATCGGTTTCAAGGAACCTTCCACAAAATTCGCTAGGAACTAAGAACGGTCAGCACGAATCACGGCAGCTTAAAAATTTTCTAAAAATGCGGAGGTCGCGGCAGGAATTATAGAGGTTTCCGTTCAATCTGTTAAAATGCGGCGGTAGCTGTGTAGTTTTCTTTACAAATAAGAGTAAAAGGGCGAATTTTAGTTTTCGAAGGGGCTGGCGGCTGCTAGAGCTAAATTTTCAAAAGCAAGAAAGAATAAAGGGGAGAATACCAGGAATCGGGGAATCAAGTGAAGGGGGATCGATGGGCGGAGTGGCGGAACGGGGGGCCCGAATGCAGACACAAGAGGCTGTGTAGTTTGAAGGCTGCCCGCGCCATTTTAAGCGTGTCACCGCGTTTAATTTAAATTAGATTAACGTGAAAATAGCAGTAGAAAATAAGAAATCTTCTGAAAAAGGGATCAAAAAAATTGCAGTAGAAATCAAAATAACTTTGCAATTTTTTTTTACGAATAAAAATAAGATATCACGAAAATTTTTAGTTGCACGACGTAGGAGTACACTGGACGCTTTTTTTGTTAATTGTTGCGTTGTGTAATGGAATTTTGGCAGTTTTGATTTTTGCAAAACTTTCTCGGAGCGGTGAAAAGGCTTGTAATTTCTATTTGTACCCTTATTTGATTCCTTGTTACGCCAATATTTGCAGGTATGAACCAAGACCATCGATGTCGGGTGACAACACAGTTTGCCGCCGACATCGCACGGCGGACCGGCAGTCAGAAGGCCAACCGAAAGAAGCTCGTCGAAGCTGTCGCGCTCGATGAAGATGAGCTAAGGTACTGACCGCTCCGCCTAACCGATACCTCATGTAGACGCTTCGACTCGGCACTGAAGAAAACGACCGCTTTCATGCGGAAATTAAAAACCGTTGGTGCTGGAGCTGGGGCGGCGTTGATCGACGAGATGTCGAAGTTGAATCTGAGCAAATTTGTTGATGAGATTGCGGCGGTAAGACTGTGATGCATTGCATCTTGAACTTCATGATCTCTTTAGGCCCTGGGCGAACTGCGGTTGAAGCTCTCCGACGTCGCGTTTATTGTTGAGTTCTGCGTGGCCGTCTCCTCACGCTACGCCTCGTTTTCCGAGTTGTTGTTAGCGACTTTTCGCAAAAATCTTCCACTCAAGAAATCCGATAAGGTCACCAATCCGAGCAAATTGCGCATCGATCTCCGGTGGGCTTCGACTGATTTCGTTAACCTTTTTTAGGTTGTTATTCGAGCTCTTTCTAAACGGCGTATTCGCAAAGGAGGGGCTTCAAGTCTATGGCGCTGCGCTGTCGTTTTTGGTGCAAACAGACAAGACGGAGCACGTTCATGTCGGATTGGTGGGTAAATCTCGGCCAAAAAAAACTTCCGTTTTTTTTCAGATAAGCGGCTTGTTGACGCAGGTTGGATGGGAGATGGCCTTCGTCGTTCCTACGACATCCAAAGGAGATGACGTCGCCTCTGGTAGATGAACGCTTCAAATTAAATTCTTTTGAATATCTAGAAGATCTGCCCGTTACTGAAGCGCTGACCCGCGAGCAAATGCTGATGATGCGCCAATTATTTTTCGATTACCACAAAAGTCTTGCCGAGCGGACAGAAAAAGCGTGTCGTTCCATGAACGTTGTGCAAAAGCGAGTGAAAAAGCAGGAGCGAGTACGAGGTAAAATAGACAATATTACGCTAAAAACTAAATTCTTCTTCCAGGAGACGCCTCACAGGAAGATCGTACCAACCTGGAGACGGCCAAGCAGCACTACGAGTCCTTGAAAAAGCTATTGGCCGAGTTGAGCGAGGCTCTCGGTGCCGACGTGCCTACATATAGCGAAGTTCCCAGCGAAGACGAGGAAGATGAGCTGGCTGCGCAACTTGTATGCCAACTTACGGTTCTATTAAATTAATGTTTCCAGATTTCAATGGCTCTCGAAGATGGAGCCCTGAGTTTATGGCCAAGTGAAGAGACGCGTGATTTTTATGAAAAGCTCGTCAATATTCGCGAGTTGGTGCCGAGCTCGTGCTTCAAGGTAAATACTGCTAATACGCTTGAAACGTTTGGCAGGAGTCCGAAATCTCGACTACGCCAGCAACAGCGTCAAAAGAGGGCCTGACGATCGACGAAATCAATATGGAGGACCTGGAGAATGAGCATAGTGAAATGGATGAGGTGCCGGCTGAGCCAGCCTCAATTTCCACCGAGGAAGTGAAGAATGAATTGATTGATATTGAGGTCAGACTTAATCAGCCGGATCGAAAAAATTTTTTTAGGTTGAGAATTCGAGGGCTGCTATCGAGATGCGAGAACAGATGAAGGTAAGCAGATAAAAAAAAAAAAAATTTTTTTTTTTAAAAAAAAAAAAATTTTTTTGGAAGGGGGGGGGGGGGAAAAAGAATTAGGGGGGGGGGGGGAAAGGGGGGGGGAGTTTTTTTTTTTTTTTTAAAAAAAAAAAAAAAAAAAAAAAAATTTATTTAAAAAAAAAAAAAAAGGGGAAAGGACGATCTTTCTAATCATTCTATTTTTCCAGGCATTCCTCGACGAATTGACACATTGCCTCAATCAAGAACGGATAGACGAAGCTGCGCCAAAATTCGTGAAGGAGCTGAACACCAAGGTTTTAGCCAAAATTTCCCCAAAAATGTAGCTGTGTAGATTAATCGTCGAAAGCTGGTGCGGTTCCTTTTCTCTGAGGCCCACCCGAATATGCTGCCGTTCTGCGCCCGACTGGTGACCACCCTGGGACCGGTGATGCCCGATGTGCCCGTGGAATTGACGGCGTTGCTGATTGAACGTTTTCGGCATGTGGTTTTGCCAGCGGTTGATCAATATTTTTGCAGTGAAATCATCAGCGGAAAGCATCGCGCCGATTTTCTGGATAAAAAGACGAGGATCGTGCAATTCATCGGCGAGCTGGTCAAGTTCGGCACGATCGGGCGGGCAGAGGGGCTAAGCTGTCTTCGACAACTCGTATATCACTTCCGGTATTGTTTTTGGTCCATCGCAATTCCTAATTTAGTGGCACCTTTGTCGAGTTGACGTGTATGATGTTGGAAACCTGCGGGCTATATCTTTTCCGGTATGGTTGTTAATTCGAATGATATTCTCCCTTAGAAACGCCGACAGTCACCCGAAAATGAAACAACTCATTGACGTCATCATGCGCAAGAAGGACCATATCAAGGATATGAAGCAGAATGTGGGTTCCATTATTTGCTATATTATCGATGTTTTTTTAGATGATTATCGAAAACGCCTACTATTCCGTATGCCCCGACGAGTCTCGAATGGCCGCCCGGCCTCAGCGACCGCCGATGCTGGAGTTTGTCATGAATCTGGTACCTTTTTTCATGAATTCAATTTATTTTTTTAGGTCGTCAATATCTCCGAAAATAACATCAGCACCCATCTGAAGCTGCTGCGACGTCTCAACTGGATCGACCCAGAAATTTGCCGTCAGTTTTTCGTGTCTAGCAAAAATCACTACTTTCAGAATTCGCGATCTGGTGCCTATCGTCGCCCTGGTTGGTGCCGTTTCCCCCGCCTTCGCTACCTTGCCTCCGCCGTTTCCGGCCTTTCCGTGGTCGCGAATCACGAATGGGTGGCAAACGTCGTCGTGGATAATATCTTGGACACTATCCGGTGCGTGATTATAAAACGTTTTAACTTTTACCTTAAAGTAGATAATTTATCCCGCCCTTTTTTCAGCACGTCCCTCGAATTTGACGTGGATGCGCTGAACCAAAAGGCCATTGCTTGCGTGGCGTTCCTGGGGGAGCTCTACAACTACAGCTGCATCGCCACACCACTCGTCATGAAGGCAAGGGATATTTATGTCCGTCATGGTTAGGTATCTAGGTTCTCTACCAAACCATTTATCTGCCGGAGGCGCCTGCACAGTGGATGGATTTCACGAGGATACGGTAGTTTTTAATTTTTTGGATAGGCTGGGCAATTGAAGAATGAGGCATGAGCTTTTTCCAGGATGGTCGCCCAGCTAATACACACGATTGGCGAGTTCTTTACGGCGGGAAGACGAAAGCGCAAGATGGACAGCTTCCTGGCTTATTGGTACAGGTGCGCGCTTTCCCGCGGCCGTATTACCCTTCGCCGTTTAGATACTACTTTCTGAAGCGCGCCCAATGGATCTCGAATATGCAGGAATTGGGCGACCAAGAGCCAAAGTAATTGTCTTAACAAAAATAACAATTATTTTAGTTTCCCGCCCGAGGTCGAAGGCGAGATGCGCGAGGCTATCAAGAGCATCTCCAAGGGCATTCGTTTCCCCAAGAATTTGGAGGAAGTCGAACAGCGCATCCAAACGATAGAAGCAACCTATCAGGAAAAGGTGCCGTTTTCTGGCTTCTCAGAATTGTGGCCATTTAGTTCGAGCGCTTCTTTGCCGGAGAACAGCGGCCGGTGGAAACGGATGGGGAGGAAGAGGGACGGCCCGAGCGACCTCTACGGCAAATCGAGGAAGAGGACGAGGAAGATGAAGAGGATGAGGGGTAACGATCTTACTGTATTCTATTTTTGAGTCCGGGCCTATTCAATTAAACCTTGGCGGTATATCCCCCTCCAAAGAAGGGCGCTCTTCGCCCAGATTTATGGGCGTCGCCAGGCCGTTTGCGGGAGTTCTTTGGCAATGTTCTGTTTATGTGTTCTGCTAGGCATGGATGGCGTTAGCAATTTTGGGAAGAGCCCCCCCCCCACGAAAAATTATTGCTCTTTGATTGCGGCTATTCATCGTGGGCGCGGCTAGAATGGCTCTTTCGTGGTATTAGAGCGTTCTCGGAGCTGTTTTATAGTAGGTATTGTTACCGGGGTACATTTGGGCAGTCATGAGCAAACCGCGAATACGAATTCAGCTAAACGCTCTCTGATCTGTTACCTTAACTACGGCTTTTGATTCTTTAGAATTTTTCACGGGGGAGACAAGCTTTTTCTTGCGATTCCTAGATTATTTACCATTGTTTTTAAGCACAATTAGATTATTTATAAATATTGCAAAGCTAGTAGAACTTTGAAATTTTGCTAAAGTGTAATTCGGTAGTAGTACAAATATAAGCTAGGACCGCCTGGATTTTGAGGAAAAAAATCGGTTGTTAGACGAAGCGGGTCATCGTCAAGAGGACCCTTTCGGAATTCACATTTCCATACCCCGAAGACGCAACCAACGTCATCTTCGAATCGCCAACCACCCAGTTTATCCATTCGCCCCCAGTTCGCTGTGGCCGGGGAACGAGCCAGGCCCGCCGGGGCGTCCAGTCGGTGTCGATTGAAATGGAATAAGGAGCGGGGCGACATGGACCCCCGGCGATGGCCTCTAGGGATCGCGCCCCCACCCCGTCCACACTGCAACGTTGATACGTTCCATGGGTCGACTCCGAGTTCCCACATACATAACTGCTGTCAGCGCATGGAAATGGGTACAACTGCTAGTGGGTAGTGTAGTGGAAAAGCTCTCTGTAATGAAGCTCCTGAAAGTGAGGTTTTGAAGTTTGGATCATTTGAGTCTACTCTATAAAAGAATTATAGCGGCCTCTTAAAATCATTAGGGTTCTGGACTCTTAGCGGGGGAGGGATTCCCTATGATTTTCTACGGCCCTATAACAAAATATAAAATTTCACCAATTTTTAACTTTTTCGTCAAAAATGTCTGAAAAATGACCAAAATGGTCAAAATTTTTGAATTTCAAAATTAAAAAATATTTTATAACTTTCTAATAATGAAAAACTACTAATAACACTATAAAAATCCATTATTTTTGGGCCCAATTGCCATGAAATTTCGAAAAGAGCAGGTTTCACTCGAACCCAAAATGACCAAATACGGCCGTTCCCTGTTACCGTAGAACACTCTTTATAAAAACCCAGGCGGAAAATACACTACTTTTCTTTCCTAGAAGTTACTAACCAGCACCTTACTGCCCGCGGAACATTTTACCCCTCTCGCACCCGTCGCAACCCAACTTCCGGCGCCTCTCACATAAATAACCGCTGCTGTCAACCAGCACTCACCCGCGACAACCCCCACCAAGCACATTTTCACCTGCCAATCTGGCCATAATACCCCGATTTTTGTGACGCCTACGAAAACAATCAATAATATAGAATTTATTACCTCTCAAAATTGTGGGCCTACTAACATGGCAGGGGAATAGTGGCCGGGGATAGCACGCGCTACCCCCGGCTCGGTATCACAACAATATCACATCGGGGACGGATGGGAATGACTGGGCGAAGAAAGGGTGGGGCCTTTTAGAAAAGGTTCTACAAATATGGGCGACTTATTTCAATTTTGATCGAGATACCCGGTGTTGGCGATGAGCAGCTGGGGAAGAAAGTGTGAAGGAAGAGATGCCGTGGGTTGAGACGTCGACCTGGAATTTTTGATCATGATTTTCTGGATGTCTAACGTCCGAAAAAAAAACCCAAAAAAGCTGAATTTAAAAAATATTTTTAAGTTACCTTCCCACGAATCTGGGGTTTTTAAGGATTATCACGCTTTCAGAGTCTAAGGATTGTTGCGTATTAAAAAAATGACAATTCTAGGTGAATCTAATCGGTATTTTTAGAAGCCGATTTTTGTCAACCCTTTTCCGGAATTCCGTCTCTTATAACCTAAAATATCTAAAATTCCAAAAAACCTTGAAAATCTTTCTTTTTACCCCCATATTTCAACCAAAATCCATATTTTCTGATGCGTCGTCTCCCTCCCCACCCCCGGGTAGTTATTGGTTTCAACACGGCGGTCATTAGTTATCTCCGCCGCGCTTTTGAGACGCACGTTTCGGACTCATGATTGATGTCGCGGTTTTAGCAACGGGGACGCGCGACCTTTCCCCGCAACCACTGGGGCCCAGGAGATGAATTTTTAAAATAATAAAAATTTGCGTTATGACTCTCTTTTCAGCGAGGCGGCCAACTGGACGCCGGAACGCCAGGATGACGGGCAGAAGAAGGCCGCCGAGCCCGTGAAGGCATTGGTAATTTTTTGCGCGTGAAACTCTGATTTCGATTTTAGGTTCCCCAAGAAGACGATCTAGAGGTGCTCGAAGAGTTTGAGCGCCTCATGAACGACAGCATGAGAGCGGTCAGTCGCGAAGCCTTTGAAATATGTCCAAATTTAGACAGCCCCCACCAGCAGCACCGCCAACCAGTCGCTGATCAACGTGCCGGCGCAGGTCCGCCAAAAGCTGCAGCGTCGCGTGGGATTCGGTAATTTTTTTGAGCGCGCGTGCCTGGCAACGCTTGGCACCCCGGGGGGCGGAATTTATGGAAATTGCGCAAATTTGCGACTTCCACTTGTAGGCACTTGACGGGCCGCGGGGAGGTGGGGGGGCGCAGATTTTTACGCACGGCTGTAGTATGAATCTGGAATATGGCGGGAGCCGCGAAGTTTGAGAAGATATGGTTTTTTTGAGACGACGGAAAAGTTTTAAGTTTAGTAGGATGAGCTGGCCGTGTTTTTGGATTTAATAACGTTATACCGAAAGTACATCATGTAGAAAGCCATTACGCAGAAAATCACTACACCAAAGTTTCAATACGTCGCTTTTCTACGGTAATTCAACGCGCATAATTTTGATTATTGTAAAAGATCTGGTTGGTTCTGCGAGTTTTTTTTTGATAATTAATTAATACCTAGTAAAATATTGAAATAATGAAAATCCGGCCTAATGGAATTTCGCTGAAATGGATCTGGGCGTACCGAAATTTCTGCGCAATGTTTTCTACCTAATAGCAGCTCGACCTAATGTTAAAATGCGGTGTTTTTGTACCTAGGCAAGCGCTGAAACCACTTGCAGCATCAACAGCACTTCAAAAATCGGTACGTACCCCTTCGGCTTCTCCTTTTCCCCCACAACCCCCTAACTTTTCGAGGCAACGCCGAGAAGGGCTGGAGGGGACCCACATCGTGTGTGTGTGGGGGAACAAAGAGAGGGGGTTCGGCCTAATACCTCCCGTGAATAGTGCCCCCAACACTTCTTCTTTCGCCCATCCCCCCTAGTTTATTCCTCAACTCCCCCTTTGCCGTCTTTGCCTTTTTTCTTGAGAAGGGCACCTCCTTCTCCATGCGCTCCAAGAAGGAGAAGAAGCCGCCTCAAACCGGGGGGAGGACGGGAGACATCTGCCCGGTGGAGGAGACGTGGACTCGATGGTCGAAAAGGGGCGAAAACAAAGCGCTCCGGGGGTAGTAGGTTCCGGAAGTGACCCTCGGGTTTGGGTTGGGGTTTTTGGAAAAAAAGATGAATTTTTGAAAGGAATATGTCGTGAAAATGCACAATTACAAAATCCTGGCCTCGAACGGATGCTCTCATTTTTTTACTTGGCGTGAAAAACGGAATTTTTTTGGAGACGCTACCCTTGTAAAAATCACTTGCAGGCCTATAATTGTGACAACGGGAGAGCGTAGAGCTTTTTAAAGGGACAGGCAAGGCGCGTGTTTGAATTTGTCATAGATGGGTTTCCCGAATCCCATTTTTGAGCGCCGTGACCCACGACGATCGCGTCGCTTGGGCACGGGAAAACGGCTTAATAGATTACGCAATGAAAACAATGGGACTGTGCGTACGGCGGTCGCGATAAATCCATAGGGAATCCGTGACCAACGATATCCGAAGCCATGGCTTACTGGTGCCTTTAAATTCCGCGCTTTCAAAAAAGTACGATTGTTGAAACCTAATTTTAGCCGTGAACGTTTCTAGGTTACTGAACAACTTCTCCACCCCTCAGCGGCGACCCCGTAGCCCTAGGTGGTGCTGTCATTAAAATGGAGGTGGTAGAGGGGGTTGAGTGTCCGTCCGGCTGAAGGGAAAGACACGCCGCCCCGTCGTTCGGGCCATCTACCCTGTGTGTGTATGTGTCCATCTTTTTCTAATGACCCATGGCCGCTTGATTGGCCCGGCTGGACGGGGCCCCTGGCTCGAGGCCCCCCTCAAGCCTTGGTCGAGGTCCCGCTCCCCACATCCCTAGCCACAACCCCTTCGAGTCGTCGTCTCCTCCCTATCCCGCCCTCCCACCCGCTAACCTTATAATCGAGAAGCGAGTTACGCGTGTTTGAGTTGCGAATTCTTGTGCGCCGGCGCGAGGCGGCATCTGTATATTTTGGGGGAAGAGGCGGAATCCCCTTCCCGGCGCTAGGATCTCACTAGGGAAGCTTCAAGCCACTGCGCACCGGATAAGGCCTCAAAAATCGGCAGTTTGCCGTGGTTGCAAGGCAGTTGTCAAAAATTGTTTACAAAGGAAAAAAATAGTTCCGATGAGTTCTGGAGTTTTCAAAAACGTTGAAAAAACCGCCGGTTTAAGTATTATGAGGCTTGAAGGGACTGGCAAGCTGAAACCGTGTTTGCCTGAAAAACACCGGGATTTTCTGCTCGAAATTGTCTGCAAAAATGGTTCGGCTAGGGACTGTCCTTAAAAACCGTGTAAAAAAAAACTACAGTGAAAATATGCGGGGTTTTAAAGGGACTAGAAAGCCATTAATAGTGCGTACCTAAAAAATCCCTATTCGATTTATGCTGGCGGCTTCAACTCCAAAAGCGTTAGCTGCACTTTTTTGCTTCAAAAGTTTCCGATGGCTGCAAGTGACAGTTGTCCTAGCTAGTCAAGGTCTAAAATTCGCCTCGCCTCGCCTCGCTCCCCATGCTAATTAGATGGCTTTGCAGCGCGGTGCGATTTCCGTCTTTTGGTGTAGCCCTCGCATAGGTTAGGGAACCGGATGGGGGTGGAGGGTAAATGAGAAATGGTGGCCGGTGGGGGCCTTATTCCCCCAGATGGCTGTCTCATGAATTGATGAACGGCTAGTCGAAAAAGGGGACGACTGGAGGGAGGGAGAAAGAACCCAGTGGAAAATGACGAATCAGCGATACAGCGAGAATTTCGAGAGCTTGATTGAATTGGGGGGGGGATTAAAGGGATCGGGACTAAAAATAGTGATTCCCATTTCACGTTTGTTTTTTAGCCGACGGCGTCAACTCGGAGAAGCAGGGCCCCGGCGAAATGCGCGTGTCGCTGGTGACCAAGGGCAAGAATAACAAAATGATTCTGAAGCCCGTCGGCATCAACGAGGCCGCCCTCGAGGAACAGTGGAAGGCGAATCAGGAACGCGAAAGGAAGTGCGTTTAAAAATTGTAATCCTTTAAAAACCCTTATTCAGAGAACGCGAAGACCTGAAGCGACTGACCCTCCGTCACACGCAGCGCATGGCTCGCGAAGAAAACGATGACGACTACTAATGGCGACACGCCCGTAATTTGGAAAGTACCGCCACACGCGGCCACCCAGGGAAAAGCCTCCAACTTCCCGCAACCCCGGATCATTGTGATAAGAGAAGCTATTTGAGCGCTCAATTCTAGCCATTTATAATCATGTGCATCGCCTTTCTACCCGTTATTCACCGTAATGTCATTCCGTTTTACGCCCCCATTTACGCGCCTCTACAATCATTCAGTTGTTATATGGTTATCGCTCTCCGGTTAATCGATTGTGATGGGAATCTTTTGCATCCCGGTTCGTTAAGCTACCCTATATTATGCCCGATTCCGGGACGCGGTAACGTCCTTGTTAAAGTTTTTACCTGGTGATCAGGCCGGCGTCTCATCTGATGATCATGTGAAAGACGAGCAGAAAGGCGGCCATTGATAAGTGAAGCGTGGTTGAGCGCCAGCCGGCGTTGCAGAGGTCTCGAGCGCAGACACAGACCCGTTGAAGTCGGCGCTGCTCTTGGACGTAGTCTGAAGGATTTTGAGTTAAGTTAATGTTTTAGAGAATCGAGTTTACTCGTTGCGTAGCCCCAAATTATATTCATCCCCGCATGCCCCATTTTCTATACAACGCTATGGGACTCACTGCCGACTTGCACATTCCGCGTCAATGTTCGCACGTTGTGGCAGGAGAGCTGTGGGAAATTTGTCCGTCGATCGCAACCCGACCCGATCCAGTACTCGCCGTGTCCTGAAATTTTGATGAACCAGTCTAGGATCTCCAATTGTCCCCTATGTAACTTTACTAGCTGTAGCATTACCGATATGCATCGTGATCGTGACGCAAACATCTTGATCCCGATCACATTGCATGGGCTCAAGCGGGCAGAACGGTTTGTTTAATCTAAAACATGCTCGTCAACGGCGCTCTTCTCGTGTTCCTTGGCCCTAGGGAAGCGGGGGAGCCGTTGTCCATAAATTATCGTCTAGGGGTCAGCTGCCCTTTTTTAGCGGCCTTGCAAACGAAAGAGAAGTAACAAATCGTACCGAGTTGTGACGCGAAAACGGTCGAGCTGCGACGAGTCGGGCGTGGGCACGCAGGTGAGGCAAGAAAGAGCGGATGTGGTGTGGAAAAGCCAGAGTAACGTCAAGAGCCTATAACATGATTTTTTTTTGTTCGCATCCAACTTTCGGCTTTCCTGCAATTCCCTACAGCTGCTACACGATCTGTACTTCGCTAACGGCCCCCAGACGCCCAAAACAAAAACCGTTTAGCCCATGTGCCGCTTGGGCGCTTCTCAAAAGTTGGGGCCCTTCTTTCCGAAGCTGGCGTCCGGCCCCGGAAAAAGCAATGCTACGGCAACGATCTCATTAACACAACGACGCCGCCCCGGGGGGTCCCCCTCCCTGGAACGGCGGCCCCTGGAATCGAATTGCCGAGTTGAGTTCGTGCCCCGCCAGCGCGAAACGACCAAAAACCCGGTAGCCCAGCGGAAACCGGTAGTTAACCTAGAAAACGAACTCCAACCCACCGCCACTTGACGCGCGGCCGCCAGCGCTCCGCGTGATGATTAGCAGCGCCCACAGGGCCCATCGGCGATGATGCGACGGCGGCGGGGCGGCGATGATGAATTTTGCATCCGGGGCCACGGACCAGGCGGCAGGCCAAAAAAAGGGTGGCGGGACGGGGTGACGAGATATTAGGCGGTGGAAGCAACCCGCGGAGGGGTCCGGCCGGACGAGTGCGGTTTTGGCAGGTGAGTAGGGCGTGTGTATGTGTGTTGGTGGCTGCCACAGGGGGAAGGAGTCCAGCCGTCTTTTTGGCCTTGGCTGTGGGCCCTTGGGCCCCTAGGAGGGGCGGGTCGGGGGAAGAAGGGAGGGGAGACAGACGGGGCGGGGCCCTATCATTGGCCACACACATACACACACAAAGCTGATCATTTGGCAGAGCGGGAGGATTGGAAAAGCAACATGGACACATGTCACGATGTCGTGGTTTTGGGGCGGGATGATCAATTGGGAGACGGGCGGGCGGCGACAAGTGCAGCGAACAGTTTGGCACTATTTCAAGGGCCTAAAACCGTAATATTTTTTGGAATTTCGGTGCCTTTGCAGAAAAGAATCAACCACAAAATCGGTGGTCTGCCTAAACTCTAATCGTATATTTATTTATCCAATGAGTATCATTTGGCCAACAACAGTAAAAAACGGGAACAAAATAACAATCCGTGTCTCTGTATCATCTAGCGTACAAGCGTGACGACCCATTCGATGTGTGCTGTCTGGGGGAACAGGTCGACCGGCTGGATCGTCTCGATCGAGAAGGGCACCCCGCCGAATTTGTTCGACCTGAAAAAAAGATGCTTAAACTGGCTTCAAAAAACGCACGTCGGTCGGCATAAGTCGCTCAAATTGCGCATGGCGTTCGCCGGATCGCAGGAGACGTAGACGAGCCTTTTCAGCGTGTCCAGCTAAATTAGAAAATTCGACTGCCCTCGAGATTCCCACCTGTCTACATGCCACAACGATCGAATTCTGGAGACCGGCTCGCGGTGGGTCGAGCACACCAATGAACTGAAGGCAAATAAAAAAAGGATGTTCCGGCCAAAAGAACCTCAGAATTCTCGAGCGTGAACCCGGGCGGGAGGTAATATTTGATTGAGCGGAACGCGTCCTCGGCCTTCGCCGCAATGTAACAGGATCTGGAGAAAGGTTATCGTAAGGAACGAAATTTACCGATCCGCGAGCTTATTTGCCTCGGCGTTGATTTTCGCGTCCGCCACCGCCGATTCAACGATTTCGACACCTATGCAGAACGCCTAAACCAGAAATTTTCAACTGATTTTTCAAGCTAAAAGCTTACGTTTTCTTGAGGGTAGTTGGCCAAAATCGTCTGCCCTATCGTCCCGGTTCCACAGCAAATGTCCAAAAGCACCATTTTCTTGGCTTCCTAAAATTACTTTATTTTGTCATACATCTAGAACCAATACTTCTCCATTTTCCGCGGGCCTCATCCGCTTCTCCGCCGGTTGCGCATCATCTGTTACGTTTTCTAACAAAGAAAATAAGGCTAAATTCGGCCTTACCTTGTGTCTTGTATGGTTGTTCGGAGACTTCTCTGTAGAGGCCACATTGCTTGGCTGGAAAAAGGATAGTTACTTTGAGCAGAAAGAACAGCAAAAATTTACAGTGTCAATATTGACCTATTTGTGTGTAGAGGGTAGCCGTTGCCACCGTATTCGTCTGGAAAAACGCGCCGGCGGAAACACGGAACCGGCACCCGAGGATCGTCTCGTAAATGTAGGGAGCGCCTAAAAAGTCGCTCTATAAGAGGAAAGCAAATTTACCAGCAACAAGGTCGTACTTCAGCACATCGCCTGCATGCTCCATCACCGAGACGTAAAGCGATGTGACCCGGAATCCCTTGGTTCTCAGCGTCTCCAGATTTATATACCTGCAGGAAAATGGTTCGAGTTTAAATTTGTGTATACCTCGCGGCTAGCGCTTCCTTGACTTCGGAGAATTTTTCCTCAGTAGCCAATGGGAACAGCTAAACAAGATCTTAAATCTGGATCGTAGAAATTTCGCACCGTGACGATCATCATGACATCACCGCTGAATTCCCGAATCGTCAACATTTTCCAGGTTCCGACCCGCGCAAATTCGTCAAAGGGGGCCAGCCCTAGAAAAGGAATTTCTCCTTATAACGCCGTAAAACTAACCACTCTCGCCCACAAACTCCTGAAAATCTTCGACGATTTTCCGCGTCTGTGTCGACATCAGATTGCATTCTCCGAGCGGGATTACAAAGTGCTAAAAAAGTAGGAATACAAAGTCACAGAAGTTACCTTGTTCTCCGAAAATTTCCCGCCCACAAATCCGACGCAAATTTGGCCGTCCAAGTCATGGCCAACGGTGAACTCGTTCTTGTTACGGTAGTGCGAATAGATGGCCGATGGGACAACCTGGGATTTTTAAAATCGGGATAGCCAATGTCAAACCTCTTTCACAAGTTTCCTCAAATCCCGATCTTTTGCCAGCGACTGTTGGTGCTGCATAGTTCGCGTCAGCTTCAGCGCCACATCCAGAGATTTTTCATGTTTCTTCTATATCGAAAGAATTAACGGGTTCGCGCTTGCTCATTTACCGTTATTTGCTCAGGATACGGCAGATCCGCCAGCGGCGATACAATCGACTTGGCTGTCTTCGCGCGGAGGGATTCCGGGTCGGCGAGTTGCAAGGTCGAGGACGGCTTTTCAATAGTCTTCTTCAAATCGGTCGGGGCGGCTCGAGCCTTTAGTGTAGATTTCTTCAACACTTGCCCGTCTAGAATCTGAAATAACGACAATTGGGCAGCGCGGTTTTATAGCTACTTTACAAGTGATCAAGGGCGGAAAAAGACACACCTCAACGGCCCGTTTCGCCTCCTCCGCTTGGTCGAACGAAACGTAAACGATATTCCCGACTTGCCGCACTTTCTTGTATCCAAAATTCGGGATATGCCTAAAATGCCATTGACTCCGAGATTCACAAACCAAGCTCACTTTGCAAAGAACGACTTTAGCCCCTTGTAGCCCAGAAATTTGGGGACGTTTGATAACAAGATCCGGCATTCGTCGAGCAACGTTCCGTTTTCGTCTCGTGGCTGTAAGGGAAAATTTGCCAAATAAGGAACAACTTACAGCTATCGTTTCAACGTCAATCTTTTCCGAATCGCTTGCCTCGCCAGGGGCCGACTCTTCGACGACGTCGATTGGCGCCTCTTCTTTCAGGTCCATACCTTAAAAAAGGACTTTTATTTTGCAATGTCGAGTGTTCAACGATATTTATAAAATCCGAGCATCCATATAAACGGGGTCTTTATGGTCAACCAGCGCATTTTTTACGATTTACTTTATAACTTTCCAAATTTGCTTGTATTTTGCAAGCAAGATCAAAGGCACGAACTAAATAAATTGTCAAAAAGTACAACAAAAAAAAAGATATTTTAAGCCCTTTATAAAGTTTTTAATTTTAATTTTTGGATTGCATTAGCCAACGAAAATCTGCAATGGTAAATTCGTGGTGTACGGTCGGCCATCCACGCAAATGGAAGGCACGAACCTTGACCCGACCCGGGCGGCAGGAATTTTCAAAAATCGCAGGGGCAAAGTTTGCAAAATGGGCCTGAATGTGATGGATTTCCGAACTTTGCAACTAAATTTAGAACTGGTGCCTCTTTCAGCCATCGCTTTGGCGACCAGTGTGAAAAGGACGTGTTGAAATAGACGGATATACAGGCATTTTCTTATTTTTATTAAAAACATCAAAATTACAGTTTATAGGTGTTTTGTGGTCCGAAATATTTGGGGTGGACTTGGGTGTAAGTTTGTCTGAAAGCAAAGAACAGAGCCTTCGTTTTCCTACGTTTCTGATCCCTAAATTGGGAAGATTTGTACAAACCTCCAGACGAAGGATTTTAACTTGAGAATTAATTTTAGCTTCCGGTTTTCGAGCCTTTGTGTAAAACCTTCAAGTGCTACCACCAATTTTATCTTACCCAAACCCCGAACGCCGATATCCCCAAATTTCAAGGCCGATGAAACTTCCGGGATTTCGACGTGACTCCCCGCTGCCTGCCGGTTGTTGATGGGGCCCAAGGGGGGGGGATGGCCGGCAAAAAGCCTTTCATAATCTTTTCACGCACCTCCAAAAAGAATGGCCGTTTTTGGGGGGTTCAAAGGGGGCGGGGGCTGGCTGCTCGATGGGGCTCTGGTCACCCCATTTTTCCAGCAATGTGCCCTCGTTCCCCCGGTCTTTCCTTCCTTCCTTCCTTTCGACTCCGGGGGATGCCCCGCTTTTTGTCTTTTTGCAGGCCGGCTTCGGCACCGGGGGGTTCCGATCGGTTCACGTACCTTGATACCCTACACGAGCCGGTCTGGGTCCTCGGTTGTTAAAAACCTTGCTTTGGAACTTGCGATTGTCTTTTTGATTCGTCTGCTAGCTTGGCTTTTGTCTGAGGGTTTTTTTTGCCTTTTATCTGCCGTGCCTATTTTTGTCAAATTAATTCTTGGCAAGAAAAAGATGTTCTTGGCAAGAAAAAGATATTTGTTTTCAGCTCCCGAAGAAAAAATTTTTACTCTTGCAAGGAAATTTCATCGCTGTCAAGGTGCATCGATTCTTGGCTTTCTGGGCCGTGGTCCCAGAATCCCAAGAATCCCAATTATTTTTCTCTAGCCTTCCCCTCCGCGTTCCCTTCTCTACCCCGTTAATTGTTGCAAGAAACACACAATTTTTGCCAGTTCTCACTTCCCGGAACTCGCCCCGTACCCTCCTACTTTGACCCCAATTTTCGCTCGCACAGTGCCCATGATTCATTGGATGGCCCTCTTTGGCAGCCAATAGGGGGGTTTGCCCTGTCCACGAGAAGCGCACGATTTATCAAAGAACGCATGGCTGGACACGGGTGTTGGGGGCTGACAAGCCGTTTCTGTCACCGCATCCGTTTTGAAGCCCCGGTCGAAATTATCGAGCGGCTGGCCCAGGCGGTCGATCGGACGGCCCGTGGCTGGCCAAATAAATGTGCTTCCGAGAGGGCTTTTGGTCAGCGTTCGATTCCGGCTGGGTTCCGGGTTCTCGACTGTTAGCGGGGGGTGGGGAGGTGGTAACTTTGGCCCCGGGTCCCAGTAGATCAAATACACAATATTCAGTAGCTTTTTAGACCCATTTTAGTTTTAGAAAATTCATAGAAATTTTATTAAAATGGTTTTTGGTTAAAACTTTTGAAAATCTGTGTTTTTTAATTTTCCAAGAATTAAGAAAATCACAGATTATCAAAAAGAACGAAAATAACTAAAAACATTTTAGGAAAAAAATATAAAAATGCAAAAAATTTCCGGGATCGCTATAGACTAGATTGCTAAAAATGACCCTCCCCCGCTAACAGTGCAGCACCGGATTTTGCCCAAGAATAGGTGCGAGTTTGCCTAGGATTGGTGCTCCCCAAAGGCGCCAAAAGCGCAGTTGAGTCATTTCTAACCTATTTCGATTTTCTTTGATTTTCGACCTCCCGTTCTATGAGAAATTTATCTTCTTTTTTCAGGTAAAACAATGGTGGTACGGGACGTGGATCATGAGCCGTTCTATATTAAGGTTCGTTTTTGGTGATCTATTGATTTGAGCGAGTTTCTTCTTGCTCGCGATTCCACCTTTGAAGATCACACGGGAAAACGGCTTATCAAACTTCGTAGACATGTTTTTGCTGCTGACCATAAACCGGGGCCAGACCGGATGGTGTCTGTTGCTGGTTCAAACTAGAAATTTTCAAAATTACTTGAAAGAAAAATTGCTTGCTCAAAATCCCATAACTTTATGCCAATTTAGATTGACGGCAAATGGGCCTATATCACCGAGGACGTGCTGAAGGCGCACCCCGGCGCATCGGCCATCACCACGTACCGGGATTCTGAGGTTTGTTTTTATTAGGGTTTAGTAGTTTTGTGTATAAACGGTTTATTTAATCTTTGGGAGTGGCAGTAAAAAGAGAAAACTGCAAATTTTGTTCAAAAATACATAAATCTCTACTTTTCGGCCAAAAATAACGATTTTCGATTAAACTTAGACTATTGAAAGCTAACGTTTTACAAAGGGTTTTACCATCCTATAAGTTTCAATAGATATAGTTAAATGTTATCAAAAACGCGCTTAAAAGAATCATTATTACGTTGCTAGGTGATCATGGAATAACCTTTTTTTTCGGTGAAACTCACGTCCCGACGAACGGTTGGAACCGGTTGGGATAAGTGGGCAAAAATCGGTCTTACCCGATGTTTATGTTTTGATTTTGGTTTTCAAAGCTATTTCAGGCTCGATTTTTTTCATTTCCGGTCATTAGCGGCCAAAACATGTTTCGCATGGCTTTATGAAATTTGGCTTGAGCGAGGAAAAAAAAGAAAAAAAAAGTTATGTTAAAGAAGAAACCGGAATCCTAGAATGAGAGAAGAGATCAGATAATAGCACTACAAAAACGTGTTTTTTTTAAAGAATTCCAATATTATACCCTCAGGGACGTAGCGTAATACAGGCCCCGGGGGCCCGGCCCCCGAAACGGCCGGGGCCCGAAAATCATAAGGGGGGACCCATGATTTCATTCCAAAATGGCCGCGGCGCATTCACGTTTTACGGCATTTGAGAGCAGAACCTCTTTCAAAAATGCCGCGGCGCTGTTTCTCGTTAACTTGAGTGTTTTGGAAAAGTTGGGGCAAATTTTGGCTACGCCCCTGCATACCCTTTTCACAGGCTTCCACGGTATTCCACACATTCCATTCGGGCTCCACCTGGGCATACAAGTGGCTGGCCGAGCTGAAGGAGAACACGGACCAGAATGTCGAGATCAAGAAGATCAAGGCAATTTTGATTTGCCCATCGCTAACACAGAGTCTAGGAGCAACAAATCCCCGGCTACGACGACATCAACATGTCCGAGTTCCACCTGTCGAAGGAGGAGGGCGACCAGTTGACCAAGAACTTTGACAAGTTGCGCCTCGACGTGAAGAAGCGCGGCCTGATGGAGGCGAACCTACTCTTTTACGTGCGAAAGGTTGGTTAATTCCTTGGTTCACATATTTTTATGCTGTTACAGACGCTGGAGACGATCTTCACCATCTTGGGCGCGTTCTACCTACAGTACCACGGCTACTACATCGTCTCCGCCATTCTGATGGGTGGGTCGAAAAGGGAAACCGGAATTAGAGGAGTTTAGGCATCGCATGGCAGCAGCTCGGCTGGCTCGTCCACGAGGCCACTCATCATCAGGTGTTCAAGAACCGCTGGCACAACGACTTGTACAGGTTCGTTTAAAATAACCAAATATCAACCGTTTTTGGCATTTACGAACATTTTTGCGTGTTGCAAATTTTTGAAAAATATCCAAAAAAGGAGCAAAATTTTCATAAATGTTCGACGGTTATTGTTCCTCCTAATCAACCATTTTAAAAAAGGATAAAAGAAGAAAATAAAAATCTAAAAAGATTAAAAATAAAATTAAAATCAATCGTTCAGCTACCTGGTGGGCGACTTCCTGCAGGGGTTCTCGGCTTCCGGGTGGAAGGAGCAGCACAACGTCCACCACGCCGCCACAAATGTCGTCGGCCGTGATGGAGATCTGGATCTGATGCCCTATTTTGCGACGGTGGCACGACATCTGAAGGTGGGCGAGAGTGAGAGAGAGACAGAGAGAGAGAGATAAATAAAGACCGAAATCGGTTCCAACATCCTCAAGCCGTTCAGGTGGCCGACTCGTGGCTCCTCTCCGTCCTCCCCTACCAACACATGTACTGGACGTTCGCGTTGCCTTTCTTGCGCATCTCCTGGCTGGTCCAATCCATCACGTTCGTGTCCACGATGCACACCTCCTTCTACACGTGCTACCGCGAGCGCGCTTTGTACGAACAGGTTTGCCCCCGTGTCACGTCCCCTTAGAACATCTCCAGGTGACCCTGTCGCTGCACTGGGCCTGGGTATGCCTTCAGCTGTACTTCTTGCCCGATCTCCACACCCGGGTAATGTTCTTCGTGGTGTCGCAGCTGCTCGGCGGTTTCCTCCTCGCCCACGTCGTCACCTACAATCACTATTCGGTCGACAAATATGCCTGTAAGTTTGAAGGGCCCCATTCTTGAACATAGGCTCAGACGACTCGTCCATCCTGGAGGTGTACCCCTGTCTGCAGTTGTACACCACGCGCAACATGAAGCCGTCGATGTTCATCGACTGGCTGTGGGGCGGTCTGAACTATCAGATCGAGCACCACTTGTTCCCGACGATGCCTCGCCACAACTTGTCCAAGGTTCGCGGCGAGTTCAGCATCTTAAAGTGTACTTGTTCAAGGTGATGCCGCTGGTGAAGGAGTGGAGCAAGGCGAACAAGTTACCCTATATGGTGGATGACTATTTTACTGGATGGAAGGAGGTTATCGCGCAGGTTGGTGTCGTCCTTGAGTTTCATTTTGTAATATTGTAATATCGACTTGTTCTGTTATAGTTAAAGTTATTGAAATCCAACATTTCAGTTCGCCTCGGTGGCGGCGGTTGCCGAGAAGATGAACAAAAAGGTCAAGCCGCTCTTCACGAAGCCGAAGCGCCGCTAAAGGCATCCCCATCAAGCCGCTTCAATTCCGCCACATTCCAATCGCCGACACGTGTAGCCTTCTACCCCCCCGCCTCTTGAATTATATATGTTGAATAAAGGGTTGTCAAAAAGGATGGTTATTCAAAAAAAGGACATTATGAAAGGTTTGAACTAACTCATTTCGAGAGTTGCCGCTGACCGAGAAGAAGGCTAGCCTTCCTCAATGGCCGCAGCTAGGCAGCCTCAATACGCTACTTTACTTTACATCCATAAATTAGTATCTGGTAATAAATTGAAGTATCAGCCACAACTATGGATATTACCGCGAAGCGACATACCGCGTTGCGTGTCGCGGTGCGGCGAAAGTGATTGATGTCTGTCCCCAATGTCAACCCTGCGCCTTTTATCTAATTGGTTATATTTATACAGTTGACCCGATCTACATAAGCCATGCACACAACCGTTCACAGACGGGAAGAACGACATCTAGCAATTTTTAAGTTTCTCGCGATACGTCGCAGCCTCGGCGGCCATCTGCTCGTCAGTCCGTGGTTTTCGATCGTCGCTAAACAAAAGACATTCGATATAGGAAGATGAGGCTTACACATCATGCTTGGACAGCTCCTGGTATACCGTGTCGCTTGACCCACCAAAGTCGCCGGCTTTCCGGGGCAGAATATGGACGTGGACGTGCTAAAAATCGAGAATTCAATTTAATTTCATCGATTTTAATTTAATTTCAATCAATATAATTTTGCTCGCGTTTTATCTAAAGATAACAACCTACACCAAACACCAAATACAAACCTCAACCGTTTGCCCGGATTTCGGACCATCTTGCACGCATACGGTAGACGAGTCAACGTTGTGATGCGATTCCAGCATTCGTTGGACCTGAATGAGTCGTCAACCGTAGATACCTCAATAAAACCTTCTTGCAAAGCACAAACAAATCCGCCGTCTCTTCATCCGTCAAATCGTTTAGCCTCTTTGCCACCCTCACCGGCGACACGAGAACATCTACAAAGAAAAACGTAACTTCGAGGCAAACATTTGGCCTTGCACTTGTTAGTGTAAATGGGCTGGCTGGTCTGTACTTTTAACTACGCGCGCCCCACACGGACACAAGGGACGGGTGGGGGGGAAAATAAGGGGGGACCAATTATGAAAGGCAATACTGCGGATTTGCGAGTGCCATGATAGAGCGTCGAAAAAAACAAGAGAATAATTTGGCCGAAAATAAGTAATGGAAATTTTATTGAATAAACAAAAATTGAGGAAAACATGGGAGGGCAAGGATAACGGGGGGAAGTCAAATTTTCGAAATTTCGGATTTGAAAACGCACGGTAACGCGTCGAAAAGCCCAGGAAAAAATCAGCCCGAAAAAGTAAAGAAATTTTACGAATAAACAAAAATGACAAAACCATGGGAGCACAAGATAACGGGGAAGCCAAATTTTGAGATTTTCGATATTTTGAAAACGCAAATCGAAGAACACAAAAAAAACAAGAGTTACAACGCGAAAAAGAAAAAAGTTATGGCCAAAAACATTTGAAAACATGGGCAGCACATAGGATAAAAGGGGGAATTCGCGTTGAAACGAGATTTGAAAATGCACGATAGAGGACGAAAAAAACAAGAGTTTTACAGCCCAAAAAAGCAATAAAAATACTTACAATAGAAAGTTGAGTGCCCCCGTTATCCCCCCGTTACCATGTGTACCCCCCAAACTACGGTTTTTTAACTCTAAGAGTATGTCCTAAGCTAAAAAGGCGTTTCCAGCGTCCACGGAATTTCTGAATCGGAACTAACCTATGCTTAGGCTTAGGCAGCATTTTTTTCTCGATTAAAATGTAATTTTGACGACCTGAAAAACAGTCAGGAAAGGTGACGGCAAGTGAATCGGTTACCCTGGAAAGAAAGTCTCTGCGCCCTCCCCAGGGGCTCTCTGCCCTGTTGGCTACTTGCCAATTTGTTGATGGGGGATCGACACATGCCGTCGGCAGCCCTTAATAAAGTTGTGAGCTTCATGTACAAAAACAATCTCGAAAATCTGTATCATCTTTATCTTTATCAGAGTCAAGCAAGCTTCACTTAATCCAAGTTAAGCTTCTTGATTCCAGTTAACTTAAAGTTAAGTTTAGCAAGTTAAACAAGCCTAGCGGTAATCGAAAAACAACAGCACCAAAAACTTACGCCCGTCCAACACCGGCTTCAGGTTAACAAATGCGAACGAATGCGCGGAGCGGGCAAAGATGAAATCCGGCTTAATCGGATGCTGGGCAAACTTCAGCTCCTCGTTGGTAGCTAAACATTCATAATTTCGCAAAAAAATAAATAGCCACCTCGAGTCTCGTTGACGTGTAGTGAATACAGTTCGCCTCTTCGATGCGAGTACACGGGCTGCATCTGGCGCAACTCGTCGACGTAGTCCAGGTCGATTTCGGCGAACGCCATGCCCACTCTCTCGCTGCACTGGGCGATGATGGCCCCCACGGGTCGACGACCATTGCATGGCCGTAGCTCGAGCGTTTGTCGTTGTGCTTTCCCGTCTGAGCTGCAGCCACCACGTAGCATTGGTTTTCGATGGCACGCGTGCGAAGTAATGTCTAAATAGGAATGGGCTTAATTGGTTAAAAAATGGTACTGGAGCGTTACCGGGGGGATATCGGAGCTTTGGCCTATCGCCCTATACGATCTCAATCAGGAAATAAACGCCGTTTTCTAGCGTTTTTTTATGTACCATAATTTCAAAAAAATATATTACAAGTTTTGTAAAACTGAATTTTTGCTCAAAAACAAGAAAACGCAAAGATTTCAAATATTTGAAAAAAGTTGTGATTTTAAAAATCAAAATTGCTCAATCACTCGAAACCAAATATGTTCGTGATATTCTGGCCACTATCGGCAAAACGTTACCTCCCAATGCGCCAAGCCCGTGTTCACCGTAAACGCCGACGGGAAGGAGAGAATCTAAAGATTCGATAATAAAGATCATAAGCCTCTTACCTGAGCTCCTCGTTTTCGATTCCAAATAGAGAGCTCCGGGAAACGAATATCGTAGCAAATTGAGAGCCCCAACTTCCCGACGGGCGTTTCGACTGGAGCGACCATCTAAAACGTACATTTGTTGCCGCCTCAGCAAGCCACTCACCCCAGTGCCGGCCTTACTAAATTCACTCTCCATCAACCGCACCTTCCCCGGGATCTCCAAATCGAACAGGTGCAGTTTGTCGTACCTAAAAAGAAATCAGAATTATCATTAGAACAACCTCACCTTGCTGCCGTCTCCCCATTTCCATTCAGCACCAAGTGCGTATTGAAGGGCAATTTGTCACCGTCCTGCAAAAAAATACTTATCTTATAAAAAAACTCATACCTTCCGATGGAATCCGCCAAGACTGATCCAGATCCCATGCTTTTTCGCCAAATCTCGGAACCGGTTGATGAACTCTCCGCCCTCTTCAATTGCCAATGATACCTGAATATAATTTTATCCAACCAAAAATTCAACGTTACTGATTCGCTAACATGTCGCCCCTAAAAACTGCAGCTTAGTTGCGTACACTTGCGGCATTTACCTCTTCTTCCCGCGTCCGGCCCACGTAGTCCACGCACTCTGGGAAGAAGATCATCTGAAATTTTCATAGATTCACTAGATAATTAATTTTCTGGATCCGGCTATTACCATACATTTCCTACTATAAATTGTCCGAGTGGAAGCGCATTATTGATTTTCATACTTGTTCTCCTCCCTGCTTCACAGGAGGAAATTCGTCAGGTATGTAGTTTATGCTAATTTTTGTTTGAAGGGTCTTACAGGTCAGAAACGACGAAATGGTCTCCACAGAGAATCCCAAAGAAAAGGAAACTACCCCAAAAGAGCCGTCGAAGGAGAAGAGCAAGCAGCGCACCATCAAGAAGGAGCTGGCCTTGTCAGCCGATCGACATGTTTGTTTTTGATCCCCATTGGAGCTACCGTTTTAATGCAAAGTCAAATTCCTAAACCCCTTTTCCAGCGAGCGGACTTCTCGGAAAACGGCGGCCGACAGGAGATGATGTTGGTGAATACGGGGGAGAAGAAAGTGGCTGTCAAGGTAAACACCTTCACACGGACGCCATAAACGCCCGAAACCCAGATCCGCAGCTCGAACAACAAGATGTACCGCGTCGATCCCGTCTACATGTTCGTCGACCAAGGGCAGGCCCAGCTACTCGTCATCAACCGGATGCCCGGCGGTATCAATTCGGGGCGTTCCAGCTAATGAAAGAAGGTTCTGTAGGCCCAGCAAAGGACGACAAACTGGTGGTCGAATACGTGCACGTCGACGCGCAGACAACGGCAAAGGAGTGCTTCCCGAAAGGCTTCAAGGTTGAGGGCCAGTTCAAGATTGTGCTCCATGTGGGTGTCTAGTTCCCTACCAATAGCTATTCCCCTTCAGACCTATAGCCGTGACGAAGAGGCGGCCATGAGGGTAACGACTCCTGGAGCCACCGGCAAGGACCAGAGCGGAAAAGAAGAAAGCGGCAAAACCCCCGGGACGAAGCTGGTCATGTCGCGAGAGATCTGCTGACCTTCCGCCACCACATTTCAATCCTTTAAAATTTCGACCACTTCATGTATTTTGAAATCGAATAAATTTCTGGCGTTGTTGCGTGGCTGCACCCGAAAAACCACTGACCTGGCAATTGCGTGCCTTCGCCTGCTCGATCATGTCGCTGGCCACCTTCCAGTTAGCATCCAGATTATTGTCGTTCGTCATTTGACAAATGGCAATCAAGTTCTTCCGAGATGCTGATGTACTTGTAGCCATTCTGCGCACCAGATTAAGCATCAAGGACCCACTAAATATGAAGTAACTCAAGGTCCTCGATAGTATGTCAAAAATCCTTGCGTTTCTGCGCGTGCATTTTAAAGCAAAATTTTGGTAAAGACTTTATTAGTGTCGAAAATTCACCGAATTGGTTCTGGGCTAAAGATCTAACAGCGGGCTTCACTAGTTAATTATAGACATTCTAAAACGAGGGGAACCAAGGAAGGACATAGCTTGAAAACAGATACAACAAGAATGCGCTGTCGCAGAAACAAACAAAAAAGGAAATAAATAACCCGTTGAGAAAGCAAGCAGAGCATTGTTCGTTATGTGCATCAGTTCTTCTTCGTTTTTGAAAGAATGTCCTGAAAACAAAGATGAGAAGAGAGTGTGAATCTCGCACCTTAGCCGCCTCATTTACAGCATTGGTATGTGCCGTCTGCTCACTATTCGCTTTCGCAATCTCCCGAACGCCAAGGTGCCGATTTCTAAAAACAAATAACCGAGCAGAAAACGGACGAACCTGTAGGCGCGGCGACCGTACTTCCGGACAGCTTTCTCATATCCGATACGTCCCTAAAAAAAACGTTTTGCAGCAAAGAGGCCTGAAAATACCTTGTATTCCACCTCTTTAGCTGTCCTCAACTTGCCCATACGCCTAAGGACGATGAAAGCGAGTTGAATTAGCCCGAGAGTCGTCATGTATCGAAGCGGTGTTGCCACCTAAAAGTACATACAGGTAAAGGCGCTGTGCTACACTTACCTTATACAAAATCAATGCGACGACCAGAGCGCCGGCTTGCGGAGGTGTATTTTTCACCTTTTCGATCAGCAATTCAGGCATGTGCAGGGTATGTAATAACGACACTACATCAACACCACTACAAAGGTTCTTTAAAAAGGCCAATAGATATGTTGTTACCTATATACAATGCCATATAGCCCGGCTAAATACATCGTGGAGCAGAACATGTGACATGGGATCGCAATATACCAGTAACGCTTCAGATAATACTTCACTTTTGCAACCATGCCCTCGGGCACTTTTTCCTGCAAACTCGGTGAAAAGAATTATTGGGACGATCTACCTCTTTTTCGGTTGAAATCTTGTCCTTCTTTTTCTGCTTCACATCCTCTGACATGATCATCGACCAGTTTTTCTTCTAAAGTAAACGTCTCATGGCATAGAAGAAAATCTCCTACCTTTTGTGCATCGTCACTAATCCTGGGTGTTGTGTGGATGATCCGACATTGTGACGCGGCGGCGAAACGCTAATTTCATTTTGGGGCTAGTTGAATACAAAAGCTACCTGAAGTGTTGGTCGAGTCAGCTGGTTGTTACATCGCACAAAAATGGAGGATATCGTCGGTCGAAGGCCTAACCGGCATAGATTATACATGTCTGTAAAAGCGTGATAGAAAGAAAAATCTAGATTTGTAGAGGAGCGAGAGAGAACAATGGGCTAATTCGGTCCATACACAGAAAAGGCGGCTATTTACTGTATTTAATCAATAAATAAAACCTAGATAGATTATAAAATGAGATAAAAAAAGGTTTTAGTCACTCATCTAGAACAGTAATTTCTCGTGTAGGCCATGTACGTGTTGGTAAGCGCTACCGAACCCCCACGGTCCGTAACTTTAGAATATCTTTATTTTACTGCAGAACCAATAAAACCACATCAAAATCACAGAAACAACCAACCCATGGAGGTAGCATGGGCAGCAATAAATTACAGAAAATCAACTCGTGTACTAGAACGCATTACAAAAAAAGGGGCCCGTGTTTTCGTGGAGAAGTTTGACAACAATCTAGGCGGTGGCTTCGGACTTGAGATAGAAGGCGTAGTAGATGCCTCCGAGGGCGGCGAGGACGGCGAACGTCTCGCAGCTGATCGGGTATTTCTTGTTGAGGCCCTGGAAAAGAGCGTTGGTAGAGAGAGGGCATGGGCGCCTCGGCTTTTGTGGTTTGTGTCGTAAACACAAACATGGCCAATGCCCTTTTGATGATGCAAGCGGCACTAGACCTCACAAAGAGAGCTCCGGGCCCTAACTAGATTCAGTTCAAAACTTGGCTAGAATTTTATTCCTTTTTTTGAGTACCCGTCCGCATTCCCCCAATCACCTTAACTCAATAGTAAATCCTTACCGGGTGGTACAGCGGGATCGTGAAAAGCGGCTTCGCGCTGGAGGTATCTTGTCCATTACGTTGAGCCTAGAAAAATGACCATTTTTCAATAACGCAGATACAAAGTTCCGTTTTCCATTTTGTAGATTTTAACTGGATTAAAAGTAGGAAAGCTATAAAAAAAAAGCTAGCAAAACGTTTGAATCAGTCGAAATTTTGGTCATTCTGGATCCTCCCCCTGCGAATACTCAAGAACCATTAGATCAAATCAGGAACTAGATAAGCAAAATCCCCACGTTGCTGTAGGTGGCAAAGGTGTCCTCGTCGTAGACGTCGATGTTGAAAGTCTGGGCGGAGGCCTTGTCGTGGTCGAGGGCGAACGAGACCTAGAATGGGCTATTCTAAAAAAATTTGCTGCTAAAATATACCTGGTACTTGTTCGTGTCATCGGAGTAGGCAACTTGGTAGGTCTTCTCGCCGTTGACAACCGCGTAGTAGGGGGCGTCCTGGAAACGACCATAAGTAATGAAACAAAAAAGTAGGATCAGTCTGGGTCAGCTTTATCAAGAAATCAGCGCGAAAATGAAAGCCGAAGTGTAAATTATAATGCTCTTTCTCATTTTGATCCAAAACCGAAGCCGCTGCCAGTTTAATTTCGAAGGCTCGTGCTTAGTAATGGTTATCCGAACTAATCAGATGGTTTCGCGCCTAGAAAAAACCGCTCACCTTCACTTTATTCGCGCATTGCAGGGAGAATTCGGCGATGAAAGACGTCTGGAAGTGGAAGAAGGAGTCGGTGGTGGAGAAGGTGGTGGCCGAGTGCTGGGGCGACTGGCAGGTGGCGGCCGAGGCCAGGGCAACAACGGCAGCGAAGGCGAGTCCCCGAAGCATTCCACTGAAATGAACGGATTATACCAGAACGTAGGCTGAAGAACGTAGTAGTGAAAGAAGATCAAGCTCGAAACAGAAAAAGGCAAAAATTAACGGCTAAACGGAGTCTCGTCGTTTCGATGTGCCATTGGCAATGCGGAGGAAAATTAATTTGTTACCAGTGAAAACTTATGATTTAGTTTTTGATAATAAAGTAAATACAGCAAATTTAGGGTTATAAGTCGGCTTCTTGCAGGCAGGAATCTTATTTGGGGGTGTAGCCGTTGCTTTAGAGGAGGTAAAGGATATTGTATTTGCAGTTCAGAGCTGCCGGGGTCCAAGCTATAGGCGACTGGTGATATGCTCTTAATGCCGGGCCGTTTGAACAAAATTTACTGACTAAAGTTATCAGCTTAAACAAAAACGTTTCAACAATTTTTCCAGCCAAAAGCTCCTAAATTCAAAACTTTATAAAAATGAGCCCGTACGCCCAGCGGAAGTGACGGAATTTCGTAAAGTGGTGTGAGGCGTAGCGGCATCACGGGCTCTGCTTTTTTATTGCGTAAAATCAATTTAATTTTAATTTTACTTTCTAATAAATAAAATCGATGATCTGTACTTTTTTCAGGTGATGGACGATTCCTTCGATCAGCTCTCCCCAAGGGGCATCCCCAAGTTTGCGCCCAGCACCTCGTCCGACAACCTTTCCACCCCAAAATGTAAACGCCCACGAATGGCCTTCGGATCGCATGTGCGAGTGCTGAAGACACAAGGCGTCACCCCAGAACCCGAATACAACAAAATGACCGATGACCAGGTGAAGGGCGAGCTGGCCAAGCATGGACTTCGCCCCATGGGCCGGAAGAATGCCGTGAAACTTCTGCAGCAAATCTACGAGAGCACCCACCCGACCGTTGACCCCGACGAGGCGGAGAAAGCCGGGCCGTCAAATAAGTATCGTTTTCGGAACGTTGGGAAAAGAGCTCTTGAGGAAATGGTTGCTGGAAATTGGGTTCAGGTTCGATGGCCGGGGTACTAGATTTTTCCTCGGGGCTATTAGACGCCGAATAGTGGAAGAAGGTCTATTTTAATGACATTTTACAGCTTTTTGAGATGTAAAAATTTCATAAAAACCTATTATATGATTTTTGGGAAATGTGTGTTTATTGGTCAACAATTTAAAAGAACCCTTTATTCTCCTTTCCCTTTAAAGGCCTTGGCGGATTGAAAAATATTTTTTTTGCAGTGCTGAAGAAGAGTCGAGCGATGGAGCACAGGACGATCACAGCGCCGACGAAAATCTCGAGGAATCTTTCATTTTCGACGGGGATTTGCCGAAGGATCTTGACGGCATGCAACGAGCCCTGGTCACATGGCTGCGTGAACCCGCCCAGACCGAGATCCTCGATCACTTGTTGCAGCTGAAGCCAGTTTCCTTTCAAGAACTCTACTTGCGGATCAAACGGGCCGACTCCGCCGTCTGCAAGATGAGCCGAAAAGCGCTGCAAACAATTCTGGATCGGCTCTCGGTGTTCTACAGCCTCCCGAACACGCGTTTCAGACGCGGCAAATAGGTCGGCGACTGTTTCCTGCTTGTCTTTTTTGTGGTATCTAAACATACGATAAAAGGATACAAAAACGCTGTCCAAGCTTTTGGTCATTTGTTATCAGCTCGCTTTTACCGACTCCTGTAAGCATCTCTAAACAACGTTTCTATTCTAGTGATGTCTGGCATCTACTATCGTGAAATCGACGTCGCCGGAGACGCTCCCTTGAAAATAGCACAGGTATGCTATCGGATTTGAGTCCGTACAATCTTTTTAGGAATTAGACACGGACGTTGGCGGCGTGATCTGGGACAGCGCGCTGGTGGCAATCGCTTACATCGTCAAGAATCGATCCAGATTTGCTGGAAAGCGGGTTAGCGCCGAATTCTTGTTGCAAATTCCGTTGCAGGTCCTCGAGCTTGGCGCGGGTACGGGAGCGTGTGGCTTGGCTTTATCGTCCATTGGCGCCAATGTTGTTGGTGGATTTTGTTTTATGAAACTAATCACATCTAGGTATGCACCGACTTACGCGAGCGATTGCCGTTAATTGAGCAGAATTGGAAAATCAACGAGCATTTGCTGAAGGGCGGCTCATTTGAGGTGAGGCTAGCGCTTCTTTGCATCGCTTTCTTCCCGGTTACTTTAAAAATGTCGTTCAAAAGTTTTTGATTTCTAGATTGCATAATGTCGAAATTCCGACCTTCTGAAATTTTGCGACTATGAATTTCAAAATTATGATAGTAGATCCTTCGTCCTTTGATGTTTCTAACTAATTCAATCCGAATTAGTGTCGAGAGCTTGACTGGAATTCGCCAGACACTTCGCTCAGCGATTTTGACTACGTTTTCATGATCGATTGTGTTTACTACCTGTCAAGGTATGTCGTTTTCATTTATATTTTTGAATTTTCCATACTTTAGCGTGCCTCCGCTACTCGCGCTCATTTCAACGATTTCACCCGCCACGACGATCATCTGCATCTTTGAGAAGCGCGATATTGGCGAGCCCGTACAAGCTCAAGCTGAGTTTATGGAAAAGATTTGCGAAATTTTCAACGTTTCCGCCATTCCACGCACTGAATTGGATGCAGAATACGTGTGTGATGACATTCTTTGCAATTATTTATCCAAAAATAAAGACTTTTGAGATTTTCAAATCGTGGAGAGCATCTCATATCACAAGCGGAACTCTGACCGGAGGGGAGTCTTGGGCAGTTATTTTTTTAGAAAAGTTTAAAGGTTTGGGCGAGTGTGGACCAGTATTTGTGAGGTTACATAATGGAGTGCGAAGGAATAGGTTATTTATAAGACCGGATGGCCATCTCGTTGATCTTCACCTTCTGCTCGACACCATATCTGAAGATGCACTGCCCCTTCGTGTCGTAGAGGACCGTCTAAATGTTTGAATGTGGTCCCTGGATGGATTTTCCGGAGCACTATGAGACGCGCGATTTAGCGGAGCATCTGCCACACCCGGGATTTTATGCACGATTTCGCATTCGGGAAGAGACATCCGCCGGTTTCTTTGTTCAGTCCCGACCGCGAGCGCCAGATGGCGCCCGCACCAAATGGGTGAGCCCCCATTTCCGCTACGGCTTTTGAGGTGGCCCCGCAAGCCAGTTTGTGGTGATGTAAAAACCATATGGGCAGAAGAGCGAAGATTTTTTGTTTTTTTGGGTTTAGCAGCTTTTTTCATAACTTACATGGCCGTCGAGGGTGAACCCCTTGGCGCCGTGGTCGCCCATGCCGCGGATGATATCGACAATGTTGCCCTCGAGGATCGTGATCAGCGAGTTGTTTTCTTTGAGGTTTGTCACTGAAAAATTCTTTGTTGGTAATTTTTAAATACGAACCATTGATTTATATGGTACTTGCGCATTAACGGGGGGGGGACTTTATTCGTTATCCTATTTTTAAAATATAAAGAGAGACGTTTTGCTATTATTCTTTAGCGTAAAAACTGTACAACATTTTTTTAAAGATACAACAAAATGACTGGTTTTCGACAAAATTTCTAAATTTGAAAAGTTTTTCGACTTTAAATATCGGAAATTTCACTAAAAAGTTCCAAAATACGTACTTATACGTTTTCCGGCATTTCTCGAGTGCTAGAAAAAATTAGATCCTCCCGCTAACGAGAAAGAAAAATCGCTAAACTCCGCCCCTCCCTCGATAATGCATAAGAACCATTTATCGATTTTAGTATGTAGTCCCTTTAAAACGAAGTCCACCCTCTTGGACTGCGGCTAAACTGCCCGCACCGGGGTCGACTCGGTGTTGGGAGTCAAGTGTGACCCTTGGGGGTAATGGGCATTTACGCGCCGTGTCGAGTGGCCCCCATTCCCGTTTTGCATAACAATACTCGGAGACGGGCACTTTGATGAATGTGAGAATCGAGTGCGGCCGCGAAACACTTCAGCCCTACCAGCCACCCCGAATGCGGGTCTTGTGGCCTCGACGCCACCGCGACTTTAGAAGCATTTATCGCAAGAAAGCGTTAGAAACGTGGAGAAGCCCCGGTTATAAAGGAGTTATCTCTTAGACTCAAACAATCCGAAAAGCGGGTTTTTTTTCGCCGCATTATCGGGGGGAAGGGGGGGAGCAATTTTTTTTGTATCAATCTAGAAAAATGCCTAGTAACTGAAAGTCAGTATCTTCTTAACATTTTTTTAGTAAAATAAAACTATATTTTAACTAGAAAAACGATCTAAAACTTTGAAACTTTGTGAAAAAGGTGAAAAACGAAAAAACTCAGCAAACCGGCATTTTTGGTCGAAAAATCAACATTTTGTTGTATTTTTTAATAAAATATTTGCAAAGTTTTTACGTTAGCTATAGTAAAAAGCAGTTAAAAACATTTCCGTCATTTATTTTCAAAAATTGGTGCCTAAGCAAAAAATTCCTCACCTCCCCCACCCCCCGATACTGCAAAAGAACCCGAAAAGCACCAAAAGACTGGGTTAATGCCGGAAAGCCCGGACAAAGTTGAAGACCCACCTGTCACGAGCACCTTGCCGAATAGCGTGTTCTTGATGCTGAAGTTTCGGACCATCTGCTCTTCGAGGACCACCAGCTCGGCGCACGTTTCCGAATTGGGTGGGACCCTAGAATTGGGTGAATTTTAAACGTCTTTTTAACGCTTCCTACTTGTTTTCCCAATTTTTATTCTTTAAAAAAGACCAGGGTTGAAAAACCGCTTCGCGGCTTTTCAACCCTGGCCCCGTCTTCTCGAATGATATTCTTGGCTTTGCATAATTTTCCCGGATTCGGATGACGAAAAATGAAAAATGCTTTCGCCGTCCTTTTATATAGGCTACCGCGACTTCCGGTGCATGCTAATTTGATCCTAACAAATTGGGGTGTCCGATTTTCCATGAAAAACTTAATTTTAATGTCGAAAACATCATATTTTGTAAAATCGAATATGTGTGCAGTCATCTCCAGACCATTACGCACCTAATGACGTATCGAACATACCCATAAGTACTTCCCTTCTTGAGATACTACTGGAACACGGTGACGGAAGTTGCATGCAAAGTGGCACACACACACACACACACACACAGACACTATTTTTTTATATATAGTAGGATAAAAAGTGGAGACACGCACCTGACACACGAATCAACACCCCACGTCAGCTCCTCTTCCACGGAATTCTCGCCAATATGGTTTAGCGAGACCTCCTGCGCGAATCCGGCGCCTGCCTCGACCACCTCGCACGGTGTCTTCAGCTTCAGCTCCATTTGCACGCCGCGGCAGACGCCTGAAATTGACATAAATGCTTTCTTAGTCTTTCAAACCGCTTTTACAGCATACATTTTTCAACGAAAAGGCAAACATTTTCGATAATGATTCCTTAATAATTTTTTAGAAACTTTTAGGGCTAAAACGGCGTAAAGGGATAATAAAATGGTTCCTATTTATTTGTAGGAACGGATCAGAACCTTTCCCCACCCACCTTTTTCCACAATAACCGTGCTGGTGGAGCGTGTCGTACGCTCGGTCTTGAAGGAATACTCCTGTTCGCGTTGTGTCGTATTGGTGAATGTGGTCTTGAAGAGCACCTTTTCTTCTTGCGGCTAAAGGGAGGACTATTTCCAGCCAAAAATTGCTATTATCATACCATTCTCTTTGTGAGGGTCTTGTCGACGCCAGGGCTATAATCGGGCTCCATCGATTCTTGGAACAGCTTCGTCCAGTTGATGTTGAACTGGAAAAATCAGGTGAACTCCAGGGTAACTAAAATAAGTGGTTTTAGCTAAAAATAAGAGGTGCCGGGTTCATAGCGTACCGAAAGATACTTCTTCTTGATCTTTGCCTCCTGTTTGCTCTTGGTGGCGTTGAACACGACGCGCGACCAGTTCATCACAATCTCCTCGAGGTCGACGAGGTTCGAGTGCAGATCCTAAAGCTACGGTCTGGAAAACATCACCAAGGAGTTTACCTTATTTGTAGAATTTGTGCTGAGAAGCGGCTCATTTTTGACGCGTTGCGCGATGGGCAGCATGTCATTTGGGAGAGCGTTGCTTTGGGGCTTCACGCAGCCTAAACCTATCATGATTTGCAAGATTGCATTATTCGATTCTATCCTGATTTTTTTGGTACTGGACTGTTATCGGGGGGGGGGGGCTTTCCAATTAAGCCCGTACGATATAGCGCATTACAGACCATTTTTACGCATTTTACACAGTTTTTCGATGCAAAAAGGTTCATAAAAACGATGAAACGATTCGAGTAAGTTTAACTTTAGTCAGCTCATGAAAAATTATCAAAAAAATGCAAAATCCTCAAATTTCCATTCCTTTAAAATTATTTGTATGAATTCCTAGCAAAAAAACTAGCAAAACAATTATGAAAAAACATAATATTTTCAAAAAAGGCAGAAAAATAAAGATTACTTCCCCACCGCTAAAAGTCCAGTACCGATTGTTTTCAATTTCTCTTTCTATTTTCTACACCCTCCATTTTTGCCCTAGCCTTCGACATCAGCCACCTGGCCCTTTTCATATTCTATCCCCCGGTCGGGTTTTCGAGGGAGAAAGTAGAGTACGCGACAATACACACACAGACGGCTCACTTCCACATAATGGGTCGTCGTCAAGGACATCCCCGCACACTAACTTTAGATGCTTGGGGGGTCTTGGATTTAGAGGCTGGCAATTAGCTAGAGCTCTAGAGAGTCTAGAGGCATTGTAAAAACGACCGAAAGCGTTTACTACCTAACACGCAAATCGTTGTTTTGGGTGGTTCTTTTGCATCATCGATGGGGGCTTTTTTCTAAGGATCCAATTCTTCTGATTTTAATAGAAGAAATGTTTCTACACCGTTTTTCCACTATTACTAAACGCAAACTCTTTACAAATTTTTATAAAAGAAATCTAAACCAATCAGTTCTATTTCTATTTTTCAACAAGAATTTCGAATTTTAAAATTTTTTTGATGATTTTGAATATTTGTTCCGCTTCAAATACAGTTAAATTTTACTAAAAACAATTTTTATAACGCTAATTTGATAAAAAAATTGGCGTTTTTACACAAATTTCGGTCCCTAGAGCCCGGGGTGAAATCCAGCGCGCAAAAACCCACGTCGCTTTGGCCACTCCATCGTCGGGGGGCAGTAGAAATACACAATAGAATCGGGGGATGAGGGTGGAATGAGTGGGGTTTTATGTAACGGCGCGACTTTTGAGCAAGCCGATGATTCAGCGCGGGGTCGGCGCCGTTTTTTGCGCCGCGCGCGCTGATTACGCAACAATGCGACCGTTAAAAGTCTGGGAACGGACTGGAATTTTGTGAGTCTTTTCAGCTGCACCAATTCGAAATTTGGGTGCTTTTGCAATATCGGGGGGATTGAATGTTTCCTAGAAGGCCAGAAATGTAATTTTTCCTAGAAGGCCAGTAACGTAATGGTCCGTATTTTTATATTATTTTTAGTCAAATTTAGCTATGTTTCAGGTGGAAAAAGTATCAAAAACTTAAACAAATTTTAAAATTAAAAATTGTGGTCCGAAAAATCTAGATTGCTTTTTTCGGTGAAAATTTGTAACGTTTTTTCTGCGTTTAGGAATAGAAAAAATACTTTCGAAACGCTTCTTCTATTTATATTCGAAATTTGCAGCCCAAGAAAACCCCCCCCCGATA